AAGAAACCGTTGAGGCTCAAGGGTACTTACATCAACAAGCAAGTCTTTCCGCAAGCACCGTCTCCGACAATAACAAGCTTTCTTCGGATTTCCGCCATTTTGGCAAAGGTTTTGATAAGGTTTGTTAAAGAGAGTGACTGTCTGAAGGTGTTGATTAAATTGTTAAGAGTGTAAGCAGATCTTATGGATCGTTGCAGATGAAAGTTCGTTAATTGGAAAGGTTGTTGAAGGTGGAAATGAGTTTCAAGAAGGCAACCTTTGGAGAAACCTAATAGCTAGTCGGTTCGAATGTTATTGCCTTATGCCTTTAATCCTTGTAAGGCATCAACTCTTCATTTGGTTACTATGGGAATCATTCAGCATAAATAATCAATAAATCTGGGCGGCATTGAATAACATAACTGGCAACTGGGCTGATGCAAGTGAATCTAGCAACATGGAGTTACCAAGACTAATCTGAATTTTAATTATAATACAAAGAAATCTTGAAAAGGTTTATGCTTTATATTGAATATATAATTGATTAGAATTTTGTTCTATAATATTTCTATCTAAATAGATATTTTATCTTTAGTTTTATATTTATATTTATTTATATATTTATCTAATTTTATATCAAACGGGTCGGAGATAGATATATATAATCAACTCCTACTATCTATAACTATAATCCATTATAACCCTAGTCGCCAACTAAGGGGTTATCTACTAGGTATAGTGATGGAGAACTGTTATTCTCCATTCAACTCTCTTAATCTCACACAATACACTGGACAAGAAAGCCAATCAATGTTTGTTTATATCTTATATCCATCTACAGAGATAATTCTGTATCTATTCTTTTATTCCCATGCCTTTCTCAATGTACGAAAAAGACCTCCCTAGCTAAATGTTGGTTGTCTTGTCTTGCTTTCATGGAGAAAGTATATGCACCCATCCCCAACTTCAGGAGATATCCGTTAGGTCTACGCACACCTTATGGGGCTGAGCTCCTAGACAATCTGGATTCTGGAATCTGCGCCTCACTCACGTCTCATTCTCCCAATCAAAGGAGAGAGAACAACAGCTCATGGGAGTTGAGTTCCGAATTTCCGATACACTCTTCTCTTTATTGTGACAAGATTCTCTCTGTAGATGATTCAATGATTGAAATCTGCCTCACTCACACATCCATGAATCTCAAAGATAATGCTGCTTTGATTTGATTGACTAGCCTCCATTGGTTATACGCCATTTGCCCCTGAACCAATTAAAAGCTAATTCGATTCCCGAGCTTACCACGTGATCCGATCCCCGAGTAAGAAATATGCACTAAACCCAAACCCCACTAGCCCAATATCAACGAAAGCTCCATCCAAAAAAAGTTGAACCGACCACCCTCGCTGGCACCAAACGAATTCCCCCTCCCCTCACCACCATGCAAAAAGTAATTCAGCGCACAGTCCTTGCCGAAAAGCAAGCTGTCCGGCGGCTTGCACGGCGACACCGCAAAAATGAACTCGAATTGTTTGCCGTACGACAAGACAGACTCAAACAAGTGGGCTTGGAAAACCTAAGACGGGAGAAGTTAAATAAGGTGGTGCGAAAAGAGGATTGGGAATTGAAGGATTTGGCTCCGAAGAGAGATGTAGGTTCGCGGGCTGAAACTTACGGAAGTATCAATGCGGAATTCATGGATCTGGCAATACCGAGGCGAAAAGATGTATTGGAGATACTGGATATATGGGGAGGGAACAAACATTTGAATATTAGGGAGGGGGATAGAGTGGTTGTGATATCGGGGAGGGATAGGGGGAAGATTGGGAAGATAGAGAAACTCGATAAGCAGAGGGCGGAAGTTACTTGTGAGGGACTGAATATGGTATGCCAACCATCTCCGAATCATGCCCCCCCGCCCCACGGATCTTGCATTGGCACATACTAATAAAACCATCAGATTGACATAGCAATACCCGATTGGATGATAGCAGACTCCGACCAAGATCGCCGTCCCGTTCGCTCAGTTCCCCAAGGCATCTCCCTGAAAGACGTCAAATTAGTATTCCCCTACACCGACGCCAAAACCGGCCTCACCCGCGACGTGATTGCCAAAAAGCTCGCCCACCACAACATGTTCCGAGACCGCCACGCGCAAACCGTCAAATGGCAGCGTATAATCCCGGGCGTCGGCGATCGTCCTAATATAATAGTTCCATGGCCGAAGAGCGAGCCTCGAGTGCACACGGACAATGATTGCGATACCCTACGAATGGAGGTAGAAGAAATATCCTTCGTGCCCACGCTCTTGACGCCTCCGATGCCCGGCAGCGTAATCGATGAGCTGAGGAATAAATATTCAGTATACAGGAAGAGACATGACCCTGAATATGTGGAGAAAAAGCTAGAGGAAGATAGACAAGAAGCGGCGAGCAAAAGGACGATTGAGTCGATGAGGACGCCATTGAATGAGATTAATAGGAGAGAAAGAAAAGTACGAAGGACAATGGGCAGGGGCAGCCTGGATCGAGGCATGTTGTTAAGAATCGGACAGGTGATTTCCAGGAGGAACGGAACGGTTATGAGACAGGTGGGTATTAGCACGCCTGGAGGGCCTGGAGGGCCTGGAACTAAAAAGGCTGGTGAAGTGAAGGCTACTTCTCCGCCAGCAACTCCACATACAGAGCCCATTCCAGTGGTTGCTTGATGATTATGCATGTATATTATGTATTTGGAATGAAGGAAAATGTAAGTGTACGGATTCAATGGCACATAGACGTTTGAGGCATTCGTGGCGTTGGAGTGTAGTATATATAAAATCCAACACACATCCACATCACTTATATCCACTCTTCATCCTGAACAATGACTCGGTACTCGGTACAGGTACAGATTCGTGAGAAACTCCCATCCACCCATCTACTCATCACTCACCACTCACCAACAACTCTCAAAGTACAATACAGTAGTATTTATATTCTTCACCAAAAACATAGATTCATTTTTTCCCCTCAGACCAACCACAACCAAGATATCCATAAAGAAAAAATCCCCCCTACGTACCCAACAACGCCAACTTTTCAAAAGCCGAAAGATGAGGCGCGTCCTTCTTCCTACCCGCCGCCTGCAAACTCTCCGCATACACTGCATCTCCACCCACCGGTCTATAATCCCTGCCTTCTGCATCTCTTTCTCCCACTCCCACTCCCTCTCCCTCTGCCGCTCCCTGCGCACCCGTATTTAGCGACTTAGCCTGCGCATTCGCATTTGCAAAAACCTCGTCTACGCATCCCGTACACAAAGCCACTACGTCCGCCATACTGGATTCTATGGCCCTGGCCCGCTCCCACATGCTTCTTCTTACTAGTCCCATGACGAGTCTCTCGATTTCCTCGCGACTGCCTTCGACTCTACTCATGAGTCTTCCTACACTTGCTACTAGGTATTCTTCTTCGTATACACTGCCCTTTTTACCCCTGGCTCTCTTTCGTTCCTCTCTTCTTCGGTTTTTACTCGTGGCTCTGCTTACTCCTGTCCCTACGGTGCCGACACTACCATTGCCTGTATAGCGTGTGAATAAACTGCGGTTTGTGGAGACGCGGGAAGAGGCTGCTACGGATATATCATCGGGTATTTCACCATCGCCTCCTCTTTCTCCCTCGTAGAAGGCGAGAGGGTCAGAAAGGGCTTTCTGTCGCAATTCTCTGATGCGTGGTACTTGGGCTAGTAATTGTGCTTTACAGTCCGCTAGTAACTCTGTGCTTGAAGCTAGGGCATCACCGAGACCAGGATCGATGACTGATTCGAGTAGATCGGGTCGTGCTTTGAGTGCGAGGAGATGGAGGGCGTCGGCGAAAAAGTAGCCTTTGCAGAAGGTTCTACAGGCGGTTTCGAGTGAGGAGAGGTAGTCGAGTTGGATGGTTGCGGCGGCATAGTAGTCTTTGCCTTCAATGAGGGCGTCATACAAGGTACTAGCTAGCTCGGTGAGTGCAGAGCCACTCATTGGGTTTCCATCTGCTCCGCCGGTGAGAGCACAGAAGAGGGTTTCACGCCATTGGGAGGGGCCGGAAGCAAGGTAGCAGGATGTGGCTTTGGTGTAATTGTGTAGAGATTCGTATGCGAGTCCTGCTTCTTTGTGCGAGGATTTTGATTCGAGGTATTGGGCGTAGAGGGCTGTAATGATAGCAAGTGGTTCGGGATTGTACCGGTAGATGGCTAAAGCGGCTTTGTAGAGGGCGTGCTTTTGAGTATACTTCTGTAGTTCCTCGAATGCGTTGAGTTCGTGGAGATAATTGAGTGCTTTAGTGTGACGGGACAGGTAGTCGTCAATGCTAAATTTGCGACGCAATTCGGTCATTTGTTGAAGATTTTGCATGAAAGGAAGATATTCTCTGGGATCTTTCTGCGACTGCTGGGCTACTAAAAGAGCAAGATCAAGATTGTAGAGACCGAGAGCATTCTCATATAATCTGTTGACGTCTGCTAAGAAGCAAATATGTTCAACTGCTTTATCAGCCAGGGCTTCATCATCCTTCATCAATTGTGCAACAACCAATAAGCCATCATCCAACGCAGGTGGATTCTTGCACACATTGGATGTGATGATGTTTTGCAAGTTGGTTGCAGTGCGAGTTTTGAGAACTTCGAGAACAGCATCGCAGATCTTGTTGACCTTTGATGTCTTGGTAGCTGTGATGTCGATAACTGGGTCCTGAGGAGCGATGGCACCATTTGCACCATTTGTTGTGGGTAGGGTGTTACCATTTTGAGGTACAACTCTGGTTTCTTTATACATTGTCTGGGTAACATCTTCTTCTCTTAATGATGACAGGAACAAATCGATATAGGTGACCTTCTTCACCTGATCAATGAACTGTGCCACATTCAATAAAAATTGCTCTGGGGCATGATCGTATAGAATGTTCATATCCACTCGTTGCGTTCTGCAATGAGTAAAAGCTTTTCTATAGTTATTTTCATCGATGAGCTTGCGGATGCCTGCAAGAACCATTGCACGTGGAAAAATAGTCTCTAGGTTTCCACGAGGCATTTGCAAAATAAGACTGAGTGATGTTGGCATTGCAGTGACTAGTCGAGCTCCTCTTTCGATGCTTCGACATCTCTCATCAATTTCTGGGTCATCAGGTGGAATTTCAAGATCTACTTTAATTAGCATTGGACTACATGAGACGAGTCAAAATACATACCATGAACCTCTGTGATGTGCACAAATTTGAGGAGATGTGTAGTAGTAGTAAATATAAGATGTGCCGGTGTAACAAGGAAGGATGTGCAGTTTCGCACCAGTAAGCGCGTATTTGCAAACAGATGGCCATTGCTAGACAACCCAAAAGCTATGCGACCATCCCCATAAGCATTTTGACCATCGCCAAATGGTATGATATTTACCCAAGGTAACTGCTTGGAGAAATTGCAGGAAGATAAGGATGCATCGCCGAAAGCTAGACTATGAAGATCTCCTGAGTTAGTTTGCACATATGGATGCATCACTCCATCTTCAACGAAGCTTGACAATATCAACACAGATGATGTTGGGCTGTTTTCAAGAGCTTTCTCTTTCAATTCACCCGGAACTTCAGTAGGGTGGTACCCTTGAATAACTGGACCAGTTTCACTTCGCCCCAAGGCGAGTACCTCATTATTACCACTGAAGGTAATCTGTTGATAAATAGTTGTTTTGACTTCCGACTCAAATGTTATTTGACCAGATAATTTTGGTGTAGGTGCGACGCGTTTAGTGGCATCTAATTCGAAAACCGAAATCCCTTCCTGATGTAAAACGGCAAGTAATGAAGCATCTGCATTGATGGAAATATCGATAGCATTGGACTGTATTGTGATTTCATGATGGCCCATTGGAGGAGGAATGTTAGCTACCCGGAAAGGCGTTACCACGAGGTTTTGCCCATCTATAACTGCAATAACTCCAAAGTCGTGCGGTGGTGCGAAGGAGCCGCGAGCGGTGGAAAAAATATACTCTGCGAAATCGATGGTGTCCTCAGAAACAGACAAGAATCTCAAAGGCTTTTCTGGGTGCCAAGCAATAGGGTTAGTGGAAACCAAGGGAGCGTGATGATTTCTAATCTCTTGCTTAAGGTACCAATAATAGTTGCCCATTGTCCATAGTTGAGTACAATCCACCATCACGACAGCCAATACCGTGGAGTCAGAATTCCAAGCCAATTTGATGTGCTGATTAGGAAGTTGACGTTGTTCCTGGGTAAGTCGGAGACTAAATTCGCCATGTCGTAATCCGTTGCGTTCAAAGAACACAACATCAATTCTTTCCTCAAGACGTTGAATTCCCGCAATCAAGTTTCCGGAAGGTCTCCAGCTCAGAGCTCCTTCGAGACCATCTACAGGCTCGCTGACACTGTCAAGCTCTCCTTCTCTGGAATATACTCGAATTATACGACGACAAGCCGAATCAATTGTAGAGATGGCGAGGTAAGCGCCATCGCCTCTCCAGCTGATAGTAGTACTCGAATCATCGTTTGGACTGAGCACACCTTCGTCAATCTTCTCAGGCATAGTCGGATCTCGTAAGGCTTTGGCTCCCCTGCCTTGAAATTGAGTTTCCTTCTTACCCCAACCAACAGATACATGATTCGAAGCTTTAAGATCCTCTTTGGTCATAGTAGTATCTGCAACACCATCGAAGCTGCGGCTCATCCAAATGACGGTGTCTTCTTTGGTAGTAATAGCCAATAGCTCCTCGTCAGGTGACCATCTTGCTGCAGTAATACCAGCGTCGACCGAGCCCATAATTTCAATCAGATCCTCCCCAGGTTGAGGATCTTCTCTGACAACAACAATATCGCCACCAGTAAGAACAAGACATGTCGTTAAGCTGTCGCCGAAATAATGAAGACTCAGAACCTTGTCACAGGGCAAATCTGGATTTGGGGATGGTGCTTCCCATGATGTGATGAGGGTGTTTTCACTATATTTCTCAATCAGCAAAATTCAAAGGGGCTCAATTAGGAAATTATTAACTGTGGTTTTGAGTTGGTCTTGACTCTAATAAGCTGTATCACAGAATCATTTTCGGTAGGACCAACAGTACAAACGACAGCATCATTTGCCAAATCCCACGCCGACGCCGTTACAGGCCTATTCTGATATTGCGCCGGCGGCCTCCATTGCTCGTATTGAATACCTTTTAAATTCCTCATCTTCACGATAATAAATATCAAAAATGTGAAAAATAAAAAGTTTATGCAAATAAATCTTAAGTCATCCTTTTTGCTCAGGCATTGATTTGTCCGAAAATCATACCCCCAGTCATTTTCACAAGCCATAATATTTTCAAGCGAGAGGCGCTAAAATGTTAGTGTATGACTTTCCCTGTAACCCCAGGTTCGATGAGAGGAGTGAGGGTGGATGAGTGGGTGATGTGGTAAGACTTCTCTTCTTATTTATCACATTCCACTTCTCTGCCCACTCCATTTCACTTGACATTCGATTCTTTTCTTACGTGGGAATACTTATAAACTTTACACATTCCATTCTCTCTGATAGTTTTTTAAATCAACTCAATAAATAATCATGGATATCGCATACAATCAACATTCTCCTCACTCTCGACGTCATAATCGCTCTCCCTCCAATCTCACACATCTAACGCTGGCACCCCTAACCTCCAAACTGCCCCCTTCAAAAGACGATTACTTCCCCGACCACATTTCCTATATTGAAAATCGCTCACAACCCACCACACCCTCAATCCTCTCCCGCTCGTCTTCTCGAGTTTCGCTCCGCAAACCCGCCCCAATTAATATCTCGATCCCCAAATCAAAATCTAGTATCCATCTTACCGCTACTCCTCGCACACCACACATACCCGGTCACCGCTCCGGCACAACCACACCTTCACGGCACTCACATCTAAGAAATACTATTGCCCCAGATAACCTCCATATCAGTACATACAGCGAAAAAGACCGCAATGATTCCGATTGGCTTCTGCGAGCCGGTGCCATGATATCATCCTCGACCCGCGAATACAAAGGTCAATCATGGCTCGTTTCACGCGCAAGCTCTACAAGTTTACAAAGGGACGCGGATGACGATGCATTTGAGCGGGAGCTCGCTCGAGAACGAGAACACAACAGCAGGAGGGGGAGCAGGAGGGGAAGTTTCGATGCAGATGATGAGTTCTCACCACTTACAACGAGGCGAAGTTTGAGTTTTGGACCTGCCACAGGAGCATTGAGTAGACCAATGAGTGGATATGGCAGTCGAGCGAACAGCAGGAGAGGCAGTAGAGCAGCGTTGGTTACGTCAATGACGGCAGATAAAGACGCAGGATATTTTGATTCGGAATTTGCACATGAAGAATACCCCGCGGAGCCAGACTTCGTAGATGTGGAAGAAGAGGGATTCGAAAGTGGTGCTGAGGCAAGGAAAGACGAAGCAATGGTCAAGAAATTGGCTAGAGCAAGTAGACTGGGACTTGGGGGGTGGGTCGAGAGTCTACTTGGGTGGAGTTTATTTGCTGTCGAAGAAGATGGAGAAGAAACTGAATTCGATACACCAGATGAAAAGGGAGAGGAATCACCACTATCGTCACGACCGTCACGGCATATGCTCGATGGGCTGGGCGATACGCCGGTTGAAGAACAGATGCCACCACTCAATCCAAACGAAGCGGATGGGTGGCACGATGCGGCTTGGCTTTTGAGTGTTGCATCAAAAGTACTGCTATGATATCATGTTGTGATCTTCTCAAGCCAGTTGCTGCGAATCTCTTCAGTCCCGTAGTACAAATATCTTTATGAATTTTAATAAAACCACCACGGCATATTTCCCATATGAAACCAATGCAGCTCAAATACCTATGTGGTCGTGAAGTTACATATGCCACCCAAAATTAAGAACACGCCGGTATCATTCCTGCCGCCCAATGCTCGATTAGAAAGTGCCTCTTTCACACCGACAGAAGTATATCCAGTCGGTCAACTCAATCGGCAGTCAAATCAATAATCTCATCCTCCTCAGAAAAGATATGGCGTCTCTTTACTGGACGTTCGAGCACGATTTCAATATCATCTTCATCCTGCTCAATAACACGCTCGCGCTTCAAGTTCTCCTCGGGTCTGTATTGCTCAGGCTTGACCTGTATTTCTACCTCTTCGGGAATTTCATCCTCTACTTGTAAGAGCTCGTCTCGAACCTGGACAAGATTGTTAGCACGATTTGCAATACTTCAAAGCTTGTTATAATGCTCCTTCGCTCCACTATATCTTCTTCGTTGGCTTGTGTGGTGTGTTTTTGTACACCGTGTAGACGTTCTTGGCACTTACAAGTGACCGCTAGTCTTTGACACAAAAACTCAATAAGCATACTTAGGGATAATGGTGAACGGAAGTCAAGGCAGAATGTGAAGGGTCTAGATTTATATGTCTTAACTAGATACCAGATGTATAGACACTTGCCAGACACTATTATCGGCACCCTCGCTTTGAAATTTGTCTGGTCATTTGCAAAACAAGAGAATTGAGTGATAATACAGACCTCAACGACGTTAACAAAACTACGACCCTTGGCTATATCTCTCAAACGACTCAGGTTTTTGTTGATTTCTATCAGAACCCTTGTAAACGGTGTATTAGCAGGCTCCGAGGCTACTCGTAGGAGAGGCGTGGAAGGTATGACTAGGGGCTCTCCCGAGGCTGCCCTTAAATCAGCCGACGCGAGGGACCTCACATCAGGCCTAAAGATGGCCTTTGCCGGTGTCTCTACTGGCAATGCAGGTCCAGCTTTTGAGGAGAAGCCGGATCCTACTTGTGGAATAGATCCGAATGCAGGAGTCGTTGGGTATGTGATCTCTTCTGGGGCTTCAATTGGTTTCGCTGGACCCGTATTTGTAGTGGAATGCTCCTTCACAGCTTTGGGAGCTATTTGACAGAATGCTTGTGGTGGTGCTGAACTTGAAGAGAAGGCGTTATTAGTTACCTGATCGAACGATCTGCCAGTAATTGCCGAATTTGTGGTTGTTTGGGTTGGTGTAGCCATTTCTGTAGCAGCCTTACGCTTTTGAGCGGTCAATGCTTCGATGTTTTCCACAGCAGATTTCGCGGTAGCGGGGGGTTTCTCGATCAGAGGGGGTAGCATCGGAACTCTGGGTACAGGTTTTGCAACAAAAGGAGCTAGGTCGAAGTTTAGAGGAAGTTTCGGGTCCCGAGGCAATATCTGAGCTCTAAGGTCAATACACTTGTCCAATTCAACCAAGTTGTAGGATGAAGAAGACTCTCACCATCATCTGCTGCAAAATCTCCCTTGATCTATATTTGAAATGGAACTCGGCCAGTGGTTTTTGAATTGGATCGACATATTCCAGCTTGTAGAACGTCTCCATATCCGATGACACTTGTGGTTTTCCGAGCCTATCATAGATTGTCAACTTGCACATAAAAGTGGCCGATCATATCTTTTTACATACTCCGTTGCATGAGATACAGCTCTGCCTTTTAACTGCTGTTCGCGGAACTTCGTATTCGCCGGCACAATCCCATGTTCTTGTTGAGTGACTGGCGTTGGCACCGGTTTACTTTTACGGACTCGCCAAACCTGTACTACGAGTTCTCCAAGCTGTGAGACTTGCTTTGGGTCTGCGAATAAGGCATCATCTCCTATACAGATTCAGCGTTAGTAAGTCTGCATTTGGGTGGAACAATCAATATACCTATTTGGATTTCGGCAAACTGAAACGGTCTAAACTTAGTACTGCCTGGTTGTCTGAGACGTTCTCCGTTCAAATTGTGCTCCCACATGTTTGGTTTAAATCCGTCCTCATTGCAGATGACAGTTGAGCTAGTCTTGCGTCCGTCAATTGTTGCAAAAAATCCTAAGCAATACTTTTTCTTCTTTTTGCCCCACGGCATCTTCTTATTATCGACATCGTAACGGAAGCCAAAATTTGTACCCGTCTTGGATTCGAAATAAACAGACATATTTTTTCGAGAGCCATCTTGCACGTCTCCATCCTGACCGTCGTCGGGATCAGGGTATTCTACCGCATTTTTAGGAGTGGTAACACTCACTCTGACGTACGGAACTCCAGGTAATATTGCCATTTCAACAGGTATTGGTATTGTCTGAAAACAGAATGATTATGAAAATGTATCTTCGTTGTTGTTTTGTAAGTGATGTGAGATTTAAGGAGATGAAGTTTAAGTTAAGTGTAAATAAAATACCCAAATACGCGACCACGCAACTGCCCTTTCTGGCTCATTGAGCGGAACGGTAAGCGCAATGCACTACCCATCCCTTCTCATTTCTTACCTCAAAGTAAGTTTGTGCTTACTAGGTAGTTCTGGCAGCTTTACTCATTACACTACCTACCTACTCTTCTTTCATCTGTTCATTAAATTCAATCTTCTCAATTTATGAGGATCTTTAGTACACTTCGAACATCATCTTTAATCATCTTCAATTATTAAATGAAAGATATCACCATGTTGGAGGAAAGAAGATTCTGTTATGTTATGTTTTATTGAGTGCCCATGATTGCCTTTTAGATATTCCGTATGCTAATAATTGCGAAAAGTTATTCATATCACATCCACCCACTACTTATTGTAAGAGACCATTGATTGATACACCAAAAAAGATATCTACTGGATGTAAGTATCTCAGGTCTCCTACATTTCGAAAATCATACCGACTCCATCCCTCGATCTTCTTCAGTTCTCCGCAAGTGACTTGATGAACGCAATATCATAATTTGCCCTCAAAGCATAGTGTATGCGTTCTTGACGTCTATGTCTTGCCAATGTATAAACATTCTTGATCCTCAGCATCTCCTGCTTCAACCATCTACGTCTCTCCCAAAATGCATCCCATTCTGCTTCTAAAATTGTCGTCTCGAAATTATAGTCTACACTATTGTCTGTATCCAGGCATGCAATGCGGTATTTGAGCCACTTGATTTGTTCTTTGGCGGACGCGGAGGTATATTCTTTCTTGTATTTTCGGAAGTTGGCCTTGAGCTGAGGCATGTCAAACATGGTCTTCATGACGGGCTTGGCTTTCTTCGGGTGTCGATGCAATGTATTCCACTTCTGCGGGTAGCTTAATGACGGTTTATCGAGTTCGACACTGGTAGCTTGCGAGGTATCGGTCTGCGAACCGTTGGTGACTGACCAACCATTACTTTGAATAATGCTAGATTGATTATTTTCGGTGTCAGATGTTGCGGTGTCATATGTTGCTGATTCTACGTTTCTGATCGGCGAAGTTTTTGGTGACGGAACATTGATGGGTGTCCAACCACTGGATCGAGGAGAGAAAGTCTGAACAGGCTCGATCTGCGGAGTGCGAACAGCATGCCAATTTCCATCTTCGAGAAGATCGGCTTGGGCAATGATATCAACTTCGGCAATCTCAACTCCTGCGGCACCCGGTTGTGTAGTTTTAAAGGCTTGCCAAGCGATAATTGGAGAGCCGAGTGCTTGAGTAGGGCTAGAGATCGATCTAGGGACTTCATGTTCCGATTCTACTTCTTCGAGATCGACTGCTTCTACATCTGCATCGTACTCGCTTTCTTGATCGGTGGGATTGACTTGCTCATGATAGAGGTGGAAATTGGTAGGTCCAGGGCAGACCGGTCTGAAAGGCAATGCGAATGTATACGCCATGAGGAATAAAGACTGTGTTTCATCATCAGTTAGCACTATATTACAGAGTGGGATCAAAGACTGTAAGAATAGAAACTTACTATGCAATAATTGAAGTTTGTGTTCCTGGAAGTACATATTCCTAGGAAGACACTGAGGAAGTAGGAAGTGGGTAGTCAAAATCTTGAGTTCAGCTTTGAGGCCTCCTCACCCTACTCCTCATCCTACTCCACCATGTGCTTTACTAGTTTCTTTAGCATGATAGAGTGAATTAACTACGTAATTTTATTTTCTTTTTCAGATCACTCTGCTAGGTGAATATCTCAATTCAGTCTCTTGCTTACCAGCCGGACCTACACACCCTCAACAACATAGAAGTATGTCTATACCTAGGTACCCATCTAACCACAATCCAGAACTTCCTACTTCATTTGACACAAACCATCTATCTCCATCAATCTTATCTGTCCATCTCTAGAGTTTGGTCGAAAACATAGAGAATATGTTAGAAAGATTATTTCTACACTATCTATTATATCAGTATGGTTGGCTGGTTGGTATATTCCATAAGTCTAAATCCCGAGAGTTCTAAGTTTGGGGATTAAAGTACAAAGTACAAAGATCTCGGTCTAGAAGTCAACATTTGGTTTATAGGCTACATGAAAGACTTTCATCTCACTTTGAATTTGCATTGCAACACACATTTACTATCGTTATCGTTCTTTTTGTTATTTGCATCTGCTCTTCGAGTTTACTTAGAGTACACTTTGAGTACAGGAAAATAGTCCTCAAATAGATGACTATCTATCATCAATACTCAAGTCGAAATGCGCGCGGTTCGGCATACTGTAGGTTTATAGTATATACCGATGGCGGTAGATTTAATTCATCAGCTAGTCACACTATTGTTTCGATGAAATTGGTAATTACCAAGCTGACTATTGGCTAGCTGGCTAGCTATCTAGATGTTCTCGCCACAATTAATATCCCATCCCATGATTCCCATCCAATTCCAGTATACCAGTATATCATATCATCCCATTAATCTTATCCTATTGTACCAATTCATTCAATCATATCATCCCATTACGTTGTGAATTTCGAATTTCACACTTCTTCTATATCGTCTTCGTCTTCCTCTCTAATCATCTCATCGCCATTCTAGAGAAACCACCAGCCACCAGGATACAATACACATGCTAATCCTATTCTAATTCCGGCCTAAACATCCTAATCATCGCTTCTAAAGAAAAAAACTATTTCCGGTCGTTGCCCTGCCTCATCTATAGCTTGGAATATATCTCCTTGTATATAGTCTTGTCCAAAGATCTTCTACAGTACTTCTCATGTGTCTCGGAAGTTTTCATGTGTTTTGTTTCAGCGGATTCAGATTCATATGGGGTATTTTCTCCTTGGGCTGTTTCTTGTGCTGTGTTTTATTTTGATAGATGGATATGTGTGTGGGTTATGTTTGGGGGTGTTTATGTAGGTTTGTTTGGATTGGAGGGGAGTTTGGGGTATACTAAGAGATTCGAATGGCAGGGGATGGCGGCGATGATGGTGGTTAGTATTGTGGTGGTGATGATGCTGCTACTAGAGGAAGAGGAGGATGAGGAGGATAAAAAAGAGGAAGAGGAAGAGGAAGGAGATCGAAATAGAAAGCGGAGAAAACAATATCCAAAGAGGAACGATTCGAAAACCAAAAATGGAGAAGGTCTATTACTAGTAAAAGAAAACATTTCTCTACGAAATCTCGCTTGTAAATGATAAATCTTGCAGATCTTGACTGGTTTTCCAAATATAAATTTTAGCTGATTGAGTAATTCGGGGTAATTTGAGGTAATTGGTGCTGCTAATTGGTCGTATTGAATATATACTTTAATGCACTGAAATGGCCAGATTTCTGTTATATCTCATGATATGGTAGGGGCCTATATACCAATCGTGCTCAATTTGCGAATGGGTTTAGAAGGATTGGGAGATAGAAGGGTGAGTTAGCGGTGGTGCTCAAGTAATAAGCGAGGATTAAGGGAGATTGGGGCCTGGTATATTTAAGTTGACTCTCAACCTCAATATACCTACCTGGTTGAGTGGTGGATTAGCGAGTTAGGGAAGTGATTGTGAGGATTGAGGATATAGAGGAATAGGATGAGAATGGTGGGGTGAGGGCTGGTTTATTATTGGGTATGATGTTGGTTTTAAGTAAGGCTGAGTGCTTTACATAAAGCAAAGCCTAATTCTGTTAAAGCATTATCACAATAAAGCATCATTATTATAAGCTTATATGCTGACCAGGAAATCACTATAATTAGGACATTCCGGTTGATCGAATTCCCAATTAGTCAACATTACTTGGTAAAAGATTCAAATTAGATTTTATTTTGATTATAAAACTTATTCGATCATATATATATGATATATAATCACAAGAACTAGATTATTACGCCTTAGCGTAATTACATCTGCCTAACTCTAGAATTTATAAGGGCTGATGGTTGGATTGTTGGGGATCAGGGGATATACTTAAAGATAGGATGAATTTTGTGGTGGTGTTGTTATTGCGAGAGAAGAGAGAAGGGAAAATGGGGGAAATCTTTGGATATTGTATTTCTTCAAATAACTATTGTAGGATGTGCTCATTGGATAGTGAGTTGATTTCGAAAGTCAAAACTTGCATGACCGTTGGATGGTTATAGTTGAAGACAGAAACTAGGAAGGGGATGTTTCGATATCTGTAGGTCTCTACTCAAGTACAGAACTTCTAATCTAACATCATAGAAGAAGAGTGGATAGATTTAGATTTCAGAAAGTCAGAATAGTCACTGAATGATAATTTTCAAGAGAGTTGACCAAACGAATTGTAAGTCCTCATTGGAGTTATAGTATATATTTGCATAGTTTTTATCTATGTCATTGGTCCGTTATTGTCTATTAGTCCCAAATTGTGCTGTGGGTCTTAAAAGAAAGCTACACTCTTCTTTGGCTACTTATATATCTTGATCCGAGGTACCGAGATGATGAAAATTGAGATTATAGTGCTCATCTAACTCCAAATCTGAAGACTATATGCTAACCTAATGGCTCACAGCTAGGATTGTACAGTTTGACACTTTGTATATCGTCTAACAGATATATTCCAAAGGGGAGTCTGCGTTCACAAGCACAATTACTACCAGTGCACTACTCAACCATCCCCACCTTTTCTCCAATTCATGAAGTTGTTGAGGGTGTAGAGATAATTTTGCATGATATAAAGTGTGCCACGGTTCTAGATATGATTTAGGCTACATTATTTACGGTTTCTTCCACTGTCATCATATCATGCTCTAGACAAAGCAAAGCCAACGCTATTCTTCCACCCAAGTGGCGACTCGGAAGACTCGAGATTTAAAGGTAGAGGAGTCTGAAAATAATCCGACTTGGAAACTGTATATATCAGATATTGGCGAAACTCCAACAGTGTTTATCGTACAGGGCAATCTTACTATAAGAGGGTCCTGAGGGGTTCCATTCATGGGGTAGGGGCCCAAGATATGATGGTACCGTCAGATGCCTAGATTGCGTACAGGGAGGGGTCTGATCTCCAGCTTTGTATTTCTCTTCACCGCTTTCATTATTAAAATGTTCGTAGGAAGGAGATGGGCGAGTATATTGATTTCGTAAGCGAGGAGTAAGATTATGTGTTAGCTGATCTTGAAAGTTGAGGGAGGTTAGACTTGTGGCCGAGGAGGATCTAAAGCAGACTAGACTGATATGATTGGTGCGATATCCTTGGGAGTTGCATACCAGGGGATTGATATGATAGATCCCACTTCGTGGTCCACTTCGTGGTTAGTTCTAAGGTTTTTAGTTTGCTGTAATCGAGTATGGATATGCCAGTGGTGCTTCCAGATCGTCTACAGGCTAAAGCACAAGAAGGTCCTAATACAGTAATTTGTACTTGTTCCGAAGATGATAACCTGCATTATTATGTTTATTTGCTATGATCTAGAAGATCAAGACTCGAATGTTTTTATAACAGTCTTTGAAAATCTTCAGTTCGCGTTCTATTTTCGCTACCTGTATCTCCGAGTTGGAAAATTGTATCTAATTCCCTTTTCTGATTATAGATTCTGAACGAGTTTGGCCTCGCTGTATGGCAATCTTGCTACAAAATATTGAACAACAGCCCATAAGCCAACAGCCGGAATGCATGTTTTCACAAACATTGCATAATGACCAGGCAGCGGTAGCCCCTTAAAATCACATCCTCACTAAGCGAAGCGAAACCATACGGAGAAGTCACGTAAAATCATAAAACCTACCTCACGGTCTACAAGTAAGTCATCTGGTTTAGATAATCAAATATCCCATTTTATCTTTCTCATTCATAACACTTTGTTAATACTTTGGATACCGTGACGCACTGGCAGTGGCAAATACCTGGATGCCTCATAACCCATACCTTATAACCCGTAACCTATAATCATATCGTATCTCTTCTGTTTTTTCCTCTCCCTCTTCATTTCTACCCCAAGCTTTCACCTTTCTCTCTTCATCTCTTTCTACGAAATATCTCATCATCCCCACCATATCTATCCTTTTACCCTCAATCTCAACTTCATTCTCAACCTTATCTTCAACCTCACCCTCAACATCAACATCAACATTCAATTTCATATCCATATCCACATCCACATCCGCCTCCAAATCTACATTCCCATGTATACACTATTCTCCTCTCTTCTCCACTCTATACTAGCTACTCTATACCACTCCAGACCAGTCCACTTCACCCTACTTAGTACTAGCCAATCATCTAGCACTTCCATCTAGGCTGCGCAGAAATACTCCGCTACCCGTGGGACCCCGCAGATACTCCGCCCCGCGGGGGACCCGTTGAGCTTTCAAAATTATCCGCCCCGCAAATACTCTGCAAATTTATTAGTTTTTATAATATTAATATAAAAACTAATATATTTTTATAATTATACTAATATTATATTAATATTTATAATATTATAAATATTGTAAAATTTATATCTGCAGAGTATTTGCGGAGTATTTGCAGCGGATACCCAACGGGTCCCCATTCAGATTTTTCTATTATCCGCCCCGCAAACGGAGGACCCGCGGGGGACCCGCTAGGCCAATAATCCGCCCCGCGGGTACCCGTTGCGCAGCCTACTTCCATCTCATTTCATCTCATTCCATCTCATTCCATCTCAATCCATCTACACTCATACTCATACTCACATCCCCAATCACCCTCATACACATACACATACTCCCATCCAAGTATAATACAAAATAACGCACTACCGTGACATATACTATACACTATATACTATCATTACCTAGTACTACAATTTAAATGACCTAATAGCTATAATCTACTCTAGAACCCTCAATTTAATAGTCATACTCTAATACATCAGAATGCCCACAACCTAATATCCATACCCTTCTTCCACTAGATACTAATAGTAGACACGAGACACTAAACACTAAACACTACACCTTAGACACCACCTCATTCGTCATCATCCATTTCATCCTCATCCTCCCCCTCCCATTCCTCCAAAATCCATAACCCTACCTCTCTCTCCTCTCTCCTTAAAACCCTAACCCTAACCCCATACCCCAAACTCCAAATCTCAAAACCTAAAATTTACAAACCCCGAAAACCGCATTCTATTACATATTACATATTACATATTACATATTACATATTACACACATTATATACTAATATACTAATATACAATTATTAATCATAAATCATATTACGAGTAAATACCAATAAAACAGTGGCTAATTAGCTAACTAGTTTTACTATACTCCGAGTCTGGGTACTATATAAGTAAATTAAAGAAAAGAAAAGGAAAATCTAACCTTACTATACTTTACAAACTATTACTTTAAGCGATACTATATACTCAGTATATCTAAGTAGCTTGATAGAAGTACATACAACTTAGGGATCACGGTCACGGTTACGATTACGATTATAGTCTTGCGATATTGTTTATATTGTTTATTAGTTTATTAGGTTATTGTTTAGTATTTAGTGTTGATTTTGTACTATTTCTATCTATGTAATTTGATGTTTGATATTTGATGTTCGGGGGTGTGTTTGGATGGAGTTGGCTTCAGCTAACGCTTTATGAGCATACTAAAATCATGACGTCTAACCAATATTACAACTAGTACCCATCTCCATCTACCCCTAACCCGCACCATTCTCCGGCACCCTCTGCCCATCTTTTCCCAGCACCATTTACGCTCTATCCCCCTCCCCCTCCTTCTCAAACAACCTCCCCAACGCCTCAACCCCGACATTCCCCCCACTAAAAACCACACCCACATCCCAGCCCCTCTCCCCCGCCTCCCTCTCCACCATGGCCCTCCACCCCTCATCAAAAAGCACCACCGCCAACCCCACACACGCACTCGGTTCCACCAGGACCTTCATCCTCTCCAACACCAGCTTCATCGCTTTCCGAATTTCCCTCTCCCCCACACTCCACACGCCCTTCACCAACCCCCTCTCATAAATAATTTCCCACGGGAATTTCCCTACCGGCGTACGTAGTCCATCTGCTATCGTCAATGACTTGACACTCTCGATTCTTTTTCCTGCTAGGATACCCCGTCGACAATCGTCTGCGTCCTGGTATGAGGGTTCTGCGCCAAAGACTTCGATGCCCGTACCCTCGCACGCAAGCGCTACACCAGATAACATGCCTCCTCCCCCACAGGGGGTAATAATAGCATCTAGTCCCTTCCCCTCTTTTCCCTCCTTACCCTCCTTCCACTCACTTCCCTCACCCCCCCTCTCACCCAACAACCTCCTAACCTGCCCCTGCATCTCCAACCCCATAGTCCCCTGCCCCGCAATAATATCCGGATGATCATACGGCGGCACCAATATCGCCCCGGTTTCCTTAATAACCTCTTCCACCATCGCTTCCCTCTCTGTAGATGTCGAGCCGCTAAATCTCACATGTGCGCCATATCCTTTTGTAGCTGCGATCTTCAAGGGAGTCGAGATTGTAGGCATGACGATATGGGCCGGGATACCCAGTTCACGCGCTGCGAGCGCCAGGGCTTGTGCGTGGTTTCCTGTTTTAGAAAAAGTCGGGTTAGTTTTGATTTTCTAATGTGTGGAAATGTAGGATTGGAGCAAATAAAAAATAATAGCAAACAATCACAACAACAACAAAAATCAAGCAAAAGAAACACCAACCACTACTATGCGTAACCACCCCCCTTTCCCTCCAACCTCCCTTCTCATTCTTCCCATCCCTCTCCTTCCCCTTTCCCTCCCTCTCTTCCCTCTCCTCCCCCAACCTAAGCAACGCACAAAAAGCCCCCCTAATCTTAAACGCCCCCACCCTCTGCAAATTCTCACACTTAAACCACAACCTCAGCTTTGGTTTTGCCGGCACCATACCCTCCCACACCGTTCCCCTGAGCGCCTCTACGCTCTGCGGTGTGCTTGCCATCGCATCCATCGTTTGATTGGTCAGGACCGGGGTTTGGTGGATGTGCGGCTTGATGAGTTCGTGAGCGTCGAGGACCGACTGGCGCGTGAGGGGGAGACGGGCTTGGGGATCGGCCATGGTGTGGTGGATGGATTCTGTGTTGAGGGTGAGGATGAGGATGATGTGGAATTGGGGGTTCTGGAAATATTGTGTAATGGGAGGGATGGAGCTATTGATAAGATGGGTGAATATAGCGGGGGTGGGGTATTTCACCGGGTGATTCATAAAATGATAGAATCCCGGTTCAGTGACAATACATGCCGATGCCGGCGGGATTTTGAAACATGATTAAAGCAAAGTACACGTATGGTCAGTTGAATGAACAATTGGAAAATATAGTATTTTGAGTTTGAAGGCATAAACTTTTAGCAATTCGAGATACCGTTGATTATAAAAAACGGAAAGTCATGAGTGTATGATACAATTCGCCCAAATTCAGAAATAACAACTCCAGCCGTAAAAGCTCCATTAACTCTCCAATTAGTTGTTTTCGGGACGAAGAGAACTGATTGAAATGTTAGTGGTTATACTTGTGAAGTGATGAACAGATCAAACTTACCGGACAGCCTTTCCTGCTCTCCAGATCTCCAATTCACGAATCTCCTTCATCTCAACCTCATACTTCTCACGGTAATCCGGTTGAGAGTTAAACTCAAGCGATCTTTGAGTCTCCTTTCCGGTCTTGACAGAGTCATACAAGTCGTTGAAAACTGGCTTCAAAGCATCCTTGAACTTTCCGGACCAATCGATAGCACCGCGACGGGCAGTGGTAGAGCATGCCTCGTACATCCAGTCCATACCGTTGGCACCGATCAATGGGTACAAAGATTGGGTAGCCTCCTCAACAGTCTCGTTGAAAGCTTCACTTGGGCTGTGACCTTGCTCACGGAGAACCTCGTATTGTGCGAGGAACATACCGTGGATACCACCCATCAAACAACCACGCTCTCCGTACAAATCAGAGTAGACCTCCTTCTCAAAGGTGGTCTCGTAAAGGTATCCAGATCCAACACCAACACCGAGAGCGATGGCCTTCTCTTGTGCCTTTCCGGTAACATCTTGGAAAACGGCGATGGAAGAGTTGATTCCACGACCCTCACGGAAGAGAGTTCGGACGGTACGTCCAGATCCCTTTGGTGCGACGAGAATAACATCAACGTCAGTTGGGACATCGACCTTGGTCTGGTCCTTGAAGACTGGGGAGAAACCGTGGGAGAAGTAAAGAGTCTGCAAAAGTCAGCTTTGAACCTAAAATACCACATGGCTTTTCATACCTTTCCCTTGGTGATCTGGGGCTTAATTGCTGGCCAGGTCTCACTTTGAGCAGCATCAGAAAGCAAGTTCATAATGATGGTACCCTTTGAGATAGCCTCATCAACCTCGAAAAGGTTCTTTCCTGGAACCCAACCATCTTGTTGAGCATCCTTCCATGATTGACCGTTCTTTCGAACACCGACCACAACCTTAAGACCGTTATCGCGCATGTTCAAAGATTGAGCATGTCCTTGGGAACCATAACCAATGATGGCCATTGTGTCATTTTTGAAGTATTCCTAGAAGATATGTATATTAGCATGATTCAGATCTAAAGTGACAAGTATATAAGTCATACCTGGAGTCTCTCAAGGGGCCAGTCGGCTCTCTCTATCATGATTGTCAGTTTCCACATTACCCAAATCGAAATCTCAATCCATACCGTAAACCTTCTCCTTTGTGCCAGCAAAGTCGATGGTCTTTACACCTCTGACTTGTTGAGATGCGCCAACAACAGCACGAGCAGCAGAAGGTCTGACTGAGGCATTGACAGCAGAGACAAAAGTTCTGCGTGCTGGTGCAGTCAATTGACGTACAGCTGGTCTAGCGACTCTAGAAAATGTGCGGGCAGCCATATTGAAGAAAGAAGTGAGTGGAGTTTCAATTAGAAGAAGAAGAAAAGGGTATTTTGAAGTTTAAATCAAAAAGTTGTGGATGTGACTCTTCCTCGTTTTGTTGTGGGCAGCAATAACTGGGAAATTTTCTGCCCGGTTCCGGAGGCGTAATCGACAGGGGTATTCTCAGCATCGCTGTTCTGAGTGGATCAACCATGGCGGGAAGTCTTGGCTAACCAACAGAGCGGATTTTCAATCAATATCAACAACAGATTTATTATTATCTATTCTCGGAAGATTTAAGATATAAATGTTTAAACCGAATTTATATACATAATATCTATTCAATATCCTCAAACTTCCCCAAAGTCCATCTACTTGACTAAATGCCACTCATTTGATATCTTATATCTGCGAAATGTTGAATATACCCAGGTATCTATATAAAAACAAAGATCTACACCAACCCAGCCCGCCACATCATGCCTCACCCCTCCGATAATATGCCGGTCAGCGGACGAGGCCGAACAACTGTTTAAATGATAATCACATACGGTACCGGTATAGTTATTCATGTAAAAAGATGATATTTATAGAGACAATTAGACAAAGCCGACAAGTAGAAAGCAAAAAACATTCAGTCCCAAACTTCACTCACTCCTTCAGAGGCTGTAACTACCTAGCTAGTAATTCACGAATTGTAGAATGAACATATACTAGTACTGTACTATATATGGATGTATGCCAGAAGTACCTAGCTAAAGAACGACGCTCCGCTAGCCTTCCGGGAGCTACTGCCGTGGAGGCTTAACTAACTAGCTTTGCTCGAGGTTCAAGGCTTGAGGCTCGAAACGGTCTTTTATTGTACTGTATGTTTTTATTATAATAACCATATTAGACCCTCTTTCTTCCCCCTTTCTCACCCAAACGCAATGCACTATCTTCACTTCTACAGCCACAACACCGAGCCAGAATCAGCTGCCCAAAGCCCGCATGAAGTTCCTTCCACCTCCCAAATCCATTAAAATAACGCTCAATATGTCCCCTGTCTGTCCTCGGGTTGTGACCTTACATTCATATCGTTGCATGATATGATGCTGAAAGTGTTGTATATGTCCAGACCATACACCGCTATCCTTACATCGTATGTAGTGTTATTTGTATGATGCATGCATGCCGAAAGTATAGTATATGTCCAGTCCAGTCCATACGCCCTCTCCCATCAAATCTTCAATACTCTATCGAAAGTATCATTCTTGACCGATCCCCCTCCCATAGCCGATCTCACATTCCGCTTGAATCCCTCCCGGTTAGATCTTAAATCCTCTGCTGCTTCCTTATTCAGTGGATCCGAGGCGTTTGGTTCGAGAAACAAGAACTGCGAGTTCACCCATCCATTAGCAAATGTGACATTCGCAGACTCTCCTTCTCATATATATTTCCCACAAAACCACTTCCCAGAACATACCTGCAACCCAATGACAATCGCCTGTAAATTCAAAACCGGCTTCCAATCCTCCCTCAGAATATTCAAGCAAATCTTGCCCTCCACATCAATATTGGGATGATAGATCTTCTGTTCGCAGTTGACCTTCGGCGGTTCATGGGGAAAAGTCTCCGGAACCGCAAATTTAAATTTGAAGATCCCACCCTTGTACATGCCCTCATCGGGTTCAATATATAAAAAGAAGTTGAGGATATCGTCTTCGTCGGGGAAATCCGTGCGCATGGTCGAGGGTAGTGACATTTCCGCGATATCTGGCACAACGCACATCGCCATGTTAGCCCCCATCATGCATGCCCAACACCAGCTCATCCTGTTCCCTTCCCTATATTCTTTGAGCTCTGGAGATCGCCTGTCGTACCTTTTTGTAATCGGAGTTGTGCGGCCGTAACCTTCTTCTTCTTGATGCCCGCAGCAGCATCGGCATTTGCCTCTTGCTGCTGTTTTTGTTTCTGCGCGACATGTTAGTATATAGAACGCATTATATATATCTTCCTAACTCTTAGTTGTGCCCACATACCATCGACCATATTTTTAACATTTTAACGATTAATGACTTCTATCCTGGAGTTTAGAAGGAATAGAGTTATATTGAAGATATCGGGGTACGATATTGAATGTTGGGTCGGAGAATTAAGTAGAAGAGATAGGATAGGATGTCTAAGAGAAGCCGAGAAAGTAAAAAGATTCAGTCTGTCGTAGCAAACTAAAGTCACAAATGCTACGCTGCTGGTTCACTGGCTAGGAATTTTAGGTTGCTGACGCCTTAACGAAAGATATAAGGCGGGGTTGAATTTTCAAGGTTCTTATCAAAAGTGTCACGCGAGGCAAACAGTTCGTCCTACATAAAATGCGTAGGTATCAATTTTCCCAATCTCTCCAACATTTTTCATTCAGCAAATCTGCTCGTTGGTTCTGGTAAAACATAACGTCTACTAGCTCAATATTTACGAAGGAAAATGGTTCATCCATAAGGGTATTTCAATAGTATTAAATAGAAACGCCTACTCAAACATGCAATATAGAGACCACCTAGGTAGAAAAAAATGTCTAGAAACTCCCATATGTGCAAGCATAAATGCAAAAAATGGTCGCTTGCTGCAGATTCCCTCGCTGTTATCTTTTCCAATGAAAGGTGCTCTAGCCTCCATATAAAGGGTCTACCCTTCAAATTTCTGCTCTCCTCCATAAACCCCCCTCCCCGATTTCGTGAGAAAGAAATATTTATCACTCAAAACCTTTTGGTGGTATGAGCGGTGATTTTGATTTTCGGACTGTGCATACGATGTTATATGTCTTGTCTAACGTTTCATGAAGCAGCACATGACTCCAGATTTGAATAAGAAGTAAGAACAACCAATGAATCGAACAAGAGCCAAGAAAGCCGTCGAGTAAAGCAAAACTTCGAAAAACTTGGCAGTTCTTATTGAAGCAGAATTCTGAATAAAGTGTTAGCATTGAAACTTAACCATAGAGAATGGATAACTTACTCCGAAACCAAAGCCGTCAACACTGTCACTCGTGATGGCTACGGCCAACAAAGCATTCGAGAAGACCCACGAAATCAAGAGCTTCGTTCTGAAAGATTTATAGGAATCCTCCAAGCTCTTACTCTCATCTTCGACTTCAGGAACAAACGGCATAAGAGCACGCTTGACTGTTGACTCAAATTGACTGTCAATATCTTCTTGTGGTCTGTCGATTTCTTCAATGACTGCTGCTTTACCATCAACCTTCGTAGTTGTAGCGGATGGAAGAGCTTCTGCCTTATCAGATCCTTTGGTACCCCAAGAAACGTCATGCCAATTGCTGAATGCGTACACCATGAGAATATTGATGTACGATGACATGAGCAACAAGTATGGTCCGAAGGAATGGAACATATGCCATGGATCCATATACATGAAGGATGCAACAAAGTACAATCCAAATGTAGCGGCCAAAGCGAGAATAATGATACCAGCTCCAGAACTCGAGTTGCTTCCGAAGAAACTTTCAAAAAAATCTTTTGCGCTATCGGTGTCGAGAGTTTCCCCTGACGTGAAGGCACGAACGACCAGGTACATGGACAAAACAAGTACATAGAGGTTAATAGCACCGAAAACTACGAAGGACATCATATATGTAACCTTGGAACCTTTGGGTCTGTTACCAAGAGCCAGGATAAATTGGACGAGCAGGAACGCCAAGTAGAGGTATTTCAGAATCGTGTTGATGATCGGGGTAGCAGTGTCACCGAAAGGCCAGCCACGATGAAGCGCAGTTGTATCCGAAGCGGCGGTAGGGGTGCCGACAAGATCCATAATAACAGTAGTTGTAAGCCAGAAAGAAGATAACATGAACCAACTGAGAATGTTGGAGAAGACGTTGTAGAAAAATTGGATATGTAAGAAGAACATGCGAACGATGTTGTGACCACTCTTGTACCTGTGAAGAACGTCAGTTGATGGCCATGAGAGTACATTATCCTGAAATGAACTTACATTCTGCCAAAATGCATAATTGAATACATTCCTGCTGCGAAAGAACCGTTAAGCCATCTTCTACGTTGACCAATAAATTCGGCAGCACCTTCGGGGACATCAGTCTCTCCTTTAGCAGCTTTAATATAAGTCAAATGCCACTTGCTGCCGGCCTTGGCTACAAGTTCGAAACAGAGAATTCTGTCCTCGGCCAAGAACATGTTTTTCTTAAAAATGTTCATTCCCTCGATACCCTTCTTTCCGAGAATCTTGGACAAAGTGTGATCTCCGTGGAAGTACTGCTCAAGAGGTCGCCCCATGATAGCTCGGAATCGGTATGCTGAGAAAGCTCCCGGCAGCACACTGACATAGCCAAAAGAACTCTCGAGCGGCTTGTCAAGAATGTTACTGATTTTATATTCGAAATTTTGAGCAGCAACGAGCGGATTGAGAAGCTTTTTGCCACCTTAAGAAAGATTTAGAGTTAGTTCAAAATGTTCCATCTTTTTTGGGGGAATAGGAATTTTTTTTACTTTTTCCTAACATAGCGTGAATCTCACCGCAAGCGCCTCCAAGATCTTTGTCGTTGTAGAAACCTTCCCACAAAGATAACAATGACTTAGGACCTGGCTTGGTGCCGGCATCGAGAAGAATACAGACTTCAGGGTTGAGAAGACGACCAAATGCATTGAACAACCATCTGTGAGAATTAATCTTTTTGGTGTTCTTTGCCTTCAGGCAAAACATCATTTGCACCGGGGGAAGACAGTTAACATCATCTTCGGTGGGGCGAATTAGTTGTTGACTGGCAGTAACCGAAAGTTGTGTAGTGTATTCGAAAACGTGAGCAACAGTCTCCTTTCCATCGACATCTTTCTTCATGACACCATCTTGATAAATACCAATTGTAGCAAGGACATCAAGTGTATCTTTATCGCAGGCGTCAATACCATCGAAAACTAGGCAGACTACAATCTTTTGCCATGCTGGTCCACCGACATTCCAGAAATCCGATTTCTTGAGATTGACGATATCGCGGATGTTTTGCATGACACCGTGCAGGGTACGGGCAGTCAACTGCTTATCTTCGTTATAGTAGGTAACGGCGATGAGCAACTCGGTATGCCGATTATACATTGCAGGTCGTAGATTATAACCATTTTTCAAAGTAAACTCATCAGGATCGCAAGTCGCGGCGGTATAACGCATGTGTGTAAATTCCTCGCTGCCGCCCTCCAGGTCATTTCTGTACTTTTGTTGAATGGCATTTTTGATGGCACTGGGTACTGGATGGTCGACACTCAAGACGCTTCCCTGCACAAGCTTGACTTTTCTTGTAGCATAACGTTTAAGTCCACCAGTTGGAGGGGCTTGTCGCTGTCTCCACGCCTCAGTGGATGTCGTTTCGGCTCGTGACAATGGAGTGTTGGGTTGTGGGTATGGATTGTCCTCTAATTGCTCATTGTATGTGTGAGAGGAATTATAATCGCTGCTGTATGGTTGTGGATCGTTCGCATACGTTTCTGTAAGGCTGTAGGCGGAAACAGGTCTAACAGGAGGAGTATTCGCTCGAAGACCTCCTTGAGCGTGAGAGTCGTAAGGACTATTAAAAGGGCCGCCGCCATGTCCACCAGAATCGAGTAAAGGTAACGCTCCTTCTTCTTCATCTTGAGGATGATGGTACTGCAAGAAACCACGGTTAGAGAAAGGGTTTTCGCAATCTGCAAGGCTAAAAATAACTTACGTTGCCTCCTGGTGGAAGGTCTTGGAGCTTATGCTCATCATAGCCTCCGTTGCCAGAATATGCCATGTTTGTGGAAATAGTCAAAGACTATATAAATGCCAGATTTGAATTTGGTGCTGATAAAATCCTGATGATTTTATCGATGCTTGATGGGTGAAAAGTAAATCAAAGAGTGAAATGTTGGTTGTGTCCAAGATTCTAAGGTATATTCTTGTATGGCGGTGGGATTCAAAGACGGTCAGATAGATTGTCAAGTAGATCGAAGCACCCTCGGCTTGGCAACCAAATAAAGAGTGAATGAAGTTCAACTTAATTACCTACTACCTACTTTGAAATTGTTTGTCGTGATTCACCAACAAAAACAGTTAAAGACAAAGTAAAGTATTGATTGAATAGGGAAGAAAAAGATTGATGAAGGAATCGTGGAGGTGAATGAAGATGCAAAGAAAGGGTATGTAGTATAGTAGAAATCAACCCTTGTTTCACTTTTTCAGAGGTTCAATAAAAAAGGAGGGATTCATTATTAGTTTGTTGTCTTTTCTCCGCTATTTTGTATTTGTAGAACCTTAATTAATGAAAACTTGATTTACTATAAGAAATTACACTGTAAATAGATAATGTAATATATGAATATGTTTTGCTAGGCCTCATTTCAAGAAGTTTATTGGCTATTTTACAGGACTATTAATAGTTAATTTATTCAGTATATATAATATATACATACCTACTCGAGTAGTATATACGAGTATATCACAATGCTATGGTTTGCCTTCAAATCATCCGATATATTCTTTCAACTACGTACTCTCTATCGTATATATATACAGTATATTAATACAGTAACAGTAACAGTAACAAGTAATGAAGAGGGCTTGGGTCTATTCAAAGGTCTTCCCTTCTTTTGCCGCTTCACCATTTCACCATTTCATGGAGAAATTTATATCTACATCCCTCAGTAGTAAATCGCGTCTACAATATTATATACCTCTTAGATACAGTGCAAGCTTAATCCCTTATATGAAGATCTTGGTCTGATGATTGTTCGATATGTCCAATATCATTGGTGATTATTACGCTTTGGTTTCAGCTGATATAACTCACCTGCCTATGAAACTTTGAATCATCAACATCACAAGTGTCGTGCAACGTCGTATAATATAAAGAGCTTTTCTGATAGGGGAGACACCTCAATTATATACCAGGTCAATTTCACTGCGCATATTGAAGGTCACCGTTGTTCATCTGCCATCCAAACAATATGTCGTTGGCAGCGTCTGACAAGTAACCTTATTCAGCGCCACCACTGCGGCTACTATCCCGAATGTTGGGTTTGGTCTGACTATTAATAGATTTCATACTATTCTAAAAAAAAAACCAATGGAATAATGGGGTAAAAATACCAGGCGCATCAAGGAGGAAAGTTTCTGGATTTATGCAAAAGCTCTAATAAGAATAAGGATAAGGATAAGGATAGGGTACCATTGAAATGGAAAAGATTACTTCACTGCAGAAGTATGGATACTCAGTAATACCGTGGAAGTTGTTGACGACAGCTTCATCCCATGTTGCTGACTGGCTTACTCCGTATAATATCATCCATAGGTATAAAGTGGAAAGATTTCTAAATAGCGCAACTAAATTCAGGGGGGAAGTGTTTCTCTTATTACTCGGTAGAAATAGACCTACTTTTATAGTTCCGGTACCAGTATATTCGGAATCAGAGGATCAATACTAAGTGGAATTCTTAGAACATCGGTCTTTCGTTCTTGATGTTCTCTAGAAGTTTGTTAATACTTTTTGCCAAAGCAACTCCTGAATCATTCATTAGCTGCTTCAGAGTTCGGGTGAGGACAACCATCATTCGAACTCTGCATAAGCTCATGGAAGTGCCGAACTTATCAACGCTTGAATGACTCCTGAAAACGTCTGATCTATTTCATTAGATACTTATTTTGCGTCTATGGCGTTTCGCTCAACCACAACCCACAGGATTCTACTGAGTCCGTTAGTTCTTGAATTCCAAATCGATCTGGTTCACAATAACAGGACGCAGGCAGCAAGGGATCGGTTAAACTATACTTTTAATCTGCCAACAGTTGCCGTTTCAATATAATTTGCTATCCCTACAATATACTGGAACAATAAATTTACCTATACCCATACGGAATATACTCTTAAGAGGAGAAGTTCATTTCGATTGCTATTGATACTGATTGATGCAATGCAATATTACAATAAGACATATTGAGCAATCGATACCTAAATCTAAGCATAAGTGATGGATATTCTTACACAAGTTCAATCATAATGTTTTCCATCTTATTTTTGATTTGCCAATTTAAAGGGTTTTTGCATAAAATACTGGAGATTTGTTTTCCCACTTCTCTGTCAAACTCCCCTTGAACCTAGTTACAGGGGCCGGCCGTTCATGCTCCAGACAACTCTAGACAACAACAACCCCCTCTCCCCCTCCCCCAATCGAACCACTAGAACCGCCACTAGAACCGCGACCAGAAACACACCAACTTACCAAAAGTAAATTAATAAATAACATAAAACTTACTAATGAAAAGATTGATCTCCATCAATCCAACCACTCTCATCTCTACCGATATACCCATCCATCACTTATCTTATTCATCGCAAATGATCATCACACCTACCAGTTCGACCGTTTAATTCCCCTCGTCGTCGCTCTAGATCTTCATCCGTCCATGTCAATGTAGTCGCTATCGACCATATTTTCGACCGCAATAACACAGAGTTCGCTCTAACCAACACTCGTTAATCAATTTACGGACCTTCCTTTTCACCTTCATATTGCGACCCGTATCGTATCGTATCGTATCTCTTCTTCAGCGCCGGCAATCAACGCATTGAATTTTATCAATTTATTTCCCTTTTACGGGTTTCTATCCAATCGATCTTATATTCTATATTCACTTCGACTTCTTGATTTTCCCACGATATCTCACTCGCCTTTCTCGAGCCGGTTCTCCTCTGTTGTATTACCAACATCTATACAGGCCGAGCCTTCCATCACCAACAACATTCAATTACCCCAGTTTACCCCAACCCTGACTGGATCAGTCTCAATCGATACGACTTAGATAATAAATAGCAATCAGTGCCGAAGAACATGGCGTATTACGAGGGTGGGTGAACTTCTTCAGGAGGTAACTATTTTGTTGCTAATCAATTCACAGCGTCCTTCAATTCTCTTTTCCGACGGTGTGTTGAGTGCAATGGGGACACTCCAGCATGTCCAACTTGTGCCGACACTGAGATTTGTTCGCTTGTTCCACCAACTTGTACTGAATGCCAGCAGACAGTTTGTGTGGCTTCCTCTGCTGCACCTTCGGCGACAGTCAGCTCAGCTGCTTCAACGAAATCCGGTCCAAACGTAGGCGCTATTGCGGGTGGAGTTATTGGAGGAGTTCTAGCTGTCGCAGCCGTAACTTATCTCGTATGGAGGTTCTGCATCAAGACCAAAAGGCAACAATTCGAGCAAGACAATTGGATAGAGAACCAAGCGCAAGCCAATGCAGAGAAGGATTTCGCAATGCGGAGGGATGCAAGAGCTTCTACACACACTGTCGGATCAATTGCATCTACCGTCCTCACACGGGCTTCCAACATCATTCAAATCGCATATATCCCTGGTGTTACGAATAGATCCGCCCCATCAACGCCAGGTCTTCTTGTTCCTCCAGTTCCTCCGATCCCAATTGCTCTATCAAACTCATCTGGAACACCAAGATATGAGCAAGAACACTTTTTCATGCCGGGAGATCTTCGCGACTCGACATACAGTGGAATGACTGGAATTGGTGAACGAAACTCTTACGCAAGAAACAGCGTTGCATCTACTATATATGGAAAACAAGCTATCGTATCGCCAGTTCCAGCTCAGACAGTTATCCGAGGAAAGGCAGCAGTGGTCAGTGTCAACAAAGCGGGTGGAACCCCTCCTGGGACTATCATACCTCCTGTACCAAGTGTCGACTTCCAAAAATATTCCGAAAACCCACCTAGTCCAGCATTTTCGGTAGGCAGCACATTCTTGAATGCTGCCAGTGCTGCAACGATGTCCAAACCTCAAGTCATTCGAGTGGATTCTAGCTTACCGAAAGGAAACCCACCCCAGCCGGCAAGATTTCCTGGAGCACCATCACCACTCTTTTCACGAGACTCTAACGCCATCACTTTAATCGAAGACGGCACCCCCATCACACCTCAAGGACCCTTTAGTGACCCCCCTGAAATGAGGCGAAAATCGAATGCTAGTCTATCAGCCATGATTCAAGATGCAACAAGAAAGGCACACGGTGATGTTTTCTCGGATAAACATGAAGTAAAGGAATAAAGGGGGCATCGATCATATAGGATATATTTCCTTTGGAAGGGATTTTTGGCATCGGAGGTTACCTGTCTGGTTACGATTTGATTTACTACCTTCTTTCAAATCTCTATCTACTTGGAGGAGGGGCATATCCCCATTTCGATGGTTCACAAACCGTGTAGTGGGTGGGGTGTTTTCGGGGTGGTTTATGATTGGCAATGATTATTTATTTTTCTGGGGATATGTTCTTATACCTCTCTATCTGGCTGGCTACTTACTTTGAAGGTTGTTACTGTAGACAATTTCAAATCCAATGACTTTTGAATGATATCTACTATCTAATGAGATATTCTCGAGGGTGAATGAAGGGTGAAGGGTGAAGAGGGGCTAACATAACAGTTGGATGGATGGAATAGTTCGTTAAATGATTGATTGGTGTAGTTGTATAGCATTAAGTATAAGGAAGAAATAAAGATCAATTGAGAAAGGAATTCTCTCAATGAAGAGGTTGACGGATGGCTAAACCGGCAGATTTGTAAAAAGGAAGAGAAGGATGTAGTTGGCTCTCTATGGAACGGCCGCCTGGTTCCTCATACAGATTCCCAACTGTTGTATACATCAAATGCATTCTAGCATTCTCGCTACCCTTTATTATTACTTTTGTTATTACTTAGCTATTATTATTATTATTATTACAGTTAACGAATCATTTCACTAGGACCTACCTATTCCTAGTATAGCATTTCAATCTTCCCCACATTAGTACGCTTTTGAACCAACTGCACTATTTGCCGACGAATAGAGCTGTTCGGTTCGGATCCGCATAATATACATAAAGTACCAACCCATACTGAGTAGAGTAGAGCGTCAGATTCAAGTCAGGTCAGTCAATACAACCAACCAATCATCCATATCTGAATCGCAGCACAAATTAAAAACTTTATCCCAACCAAAAGGATTAAAAGGATTAAAAGGCTTAAAAGTACAGAAAGAAGAGCCTCTTGAATACAACGCATTTATAATATATTGTATTGCCAACATTTTTAAGAAGCTTCGATCTAAATCATATTACTTTCTTCAAATAACGGGCAGGCAGGTCAGATTCTCTCACTATCAGCCTATCATATCATATCTATACCGGAAGGAAAGTACTTTTGTACTCGAGTATCAAAAAAATATTCACTTATCCCACGACTTATCAATTCTACTCTACATCTACCCTTCCGACCCCTTCTAAACCTTCCAACCCATCCAATTCATTCAACTCATCCCATCCAACTTATTAAATCAGACATCAAATCTATCAAATCCATCAAACCATCAAACTATCAAACTTATCAACTTGTACAATAGCAAAGTAGCAAAGTGGAAAGAAGTCCGAGCTTCTTTTATGCCAAAAAGGGAATCTCCACTTGTAGCACAGAGCCAAACTATCTTTCCACCGACAGACAGCACAGCACAGCAAAAGAATTAAGGGAACTACTTTGAACAAATTGATCTCTTTAACCACCCATCACCAATCCATCCACCTTCTCCTCCTCTTTCTCCTCCTCCTCCTCCATTCAAGTTATCTTGTTTACAGCCTTCTCCTTTTCAAGTCTACTCAGAGATCCTGATATAATCTCATACGTCACAACAGTCACAACAGAGTTACAATAGAGTTACAACAAAAGCTGAACCATCAAAGATGTCGAAACAAATGGTCTTGTACAAATTGGTGGTGCTTGGTGATGGAGGTGTGGGTAAAACTGCTTTGACAATTCAATTAACATTACAGCATTTCGTTGAGACTGTAAGCTTTCCCATTCCCACCTTGCCCGCTTCTGATTGTTACCATCACATGCTTACTTCAGCATAGTACGATCCTACCATCGAAGATTCATATCGAAAACAAGTCGCGATAGACGGTCAATCTTGTATGTTGGAGGTTCTCGATACTGCCGGTCAAGAAGAATATACTGCGTTGCGAGATCAATGGATTCGTGATGGCGAAGGTTTCGTTTTGGTTTACAGCATATCGTCGAGATCATCCTTTACGCGCATTAAAGCATTTCACAATCAAATTCAACGAGTTAAGGAATCAACTTCCTCCTCCCCAATATATCCCGGTTCGCCCATATCACCCATCTCACCTTCAGAGCCCGTACCAATTATGCTCGTGGGGAACAAATGCGACAGAGTTACGGAGCGAGAGGTATCTACACAAGAAGGATCTGCATTGGCGCGGGAGTTGGGTTGCGAATTCGTTGAAGCATCGGCGAAGAATTGTGTAAATGTCGAAAAGGCTTTCTATGATGTAGTACGACAACTGCGCAGACAACGACAACAGAGAACATCGGCTTCGGGTACTGGCAGGAGTCCTCGTGCTAACACCTTGGATAATGGAATGGTTCGAGATGAATCCAGGAAATATCGCCCCAAGAAGAAGGGACCTTGTGTTATCTTATGAGAAATTCACCTCCTTATACAACAAAGATATATTTGAGCTCAAAGCTTTTATCGCATGGATTATTCAACGACGTTTACGACATTCCTTTGGCTAGATGCCCATTTTTTTTATTAAACCGCATTTTATGAACCTCACTCTTCCCCATGTTCTCCTCTAAGATTTTTTCTTCCATCTTTCCCTCAACAGCGTTTGCTAAATCAATTCTCAAGCTGGGCCGGCGAATGGAGTACCAAAAAGAGTGGCATATGGCGTATTTTATGAAACCTTTTTCTTTCTTGGAAAATAACCCTCTCCAATTTCAATATCGACAAACTTATCACATACATCATCACATACATCATATACATCACTTTACATCACATCACATCATGGAAAGCATTTCCTCCTCCCGGATTAGTCAAATACGCTTTTTGAACGATAACATAACTTTATTTTGGGTGTCTATGGATGGCGCAATGAAATCAAGATATAACGATGTAGCGATGTAGCGATGTAGCGATGTAGCGATCTTTTTCAAATGAGAAAGAATCTTGAATTTTTGTTTTCCAAATGCAAATGCAAATGCAAATGCAATGAATGTGCTTTTTTGGATTTTGATTTTGAATTTTGAATTTTGAATTTGATCTTGATATGTTACTTTTTTTCCACCTCTTCATCTTTATTATACTCAAGTGCTTGCTTTTTCAAACTCAACTCAACTCAACTCCTCTTCCTTCCTTCTCCCATGCCCTTTCCCATTCCCATTCCCATCAAAGGAAGGAAAGAAAGAAGGAAATTATTCCACATTCGAGTCTCCTCCTGTCCTGGGTTGGTTCAGTCATATTATATATACATAATATGAATGTATGCATGGATGGAATTACTCGATTATATTGAATGTTCTATTTAGTTGAATGTTGAATGTTTGAATGTTTAAATGTTGAATGTTCTAAAGACTGTGAATGAATGGATGGATGGGGTTGAGGAGGAAAGGAGGAGATGGGGATTGGGGGAGAGGGATAGAGGGGGGAGGGGGAGAGATGGATGATGATGGATAATGGATAGAAGGGGGAAATAGATGGAGATACGATGGAGAGGGGGAGATGGAGGGGGG